GTTTTCTTTTAAGAGGAGAGCATGTATGTATCACAGAGCTGTGCAACTTTAACCTCACTACGTTGCCTACCAAATGACTCAGCCTCTTTTGTGGCCTTCCCCCTCTGCAATTACTACTTCATAAGCCTGATTCATAGCTACAGCTCCTTTTGCTACATCTCTAGTTTTGCCTCATCAAAATCTGAGCTTTACTCAAAGCCATCCTGTAAAAACAGACAGATTTGCTGCCTCTCACCCGTCTATATTTTCTTTAAGGGGTTGCTGTTAGTTGCCACGGATTCAGGGTGAGAGACTGCAACCCTTTTTACTTGTTCTCTTTCCTATAACTGGAGCCAAACCAAGGGAATTGGAATCAGCTTTGCCTATGGTAAGCAGGGCTTAGGAAAACTCTGTTCCCTCTGGTTGAAGATCTCCTGAACTCAGGTGTAAATCCCACCAACAGTAAGAAAGGTTCCTTCTTTGCAGGGGAACATTCCCCCAGCCCCCACCCCTCCTCAACAGCTGAGTCTTCCCTGCAGAAAAAAACCATACCCACTTTGGGAATAATTTTCCCAGGCCTTGTCTTGAGAAAGCCAGGTTTGGATAATGCAGTCAGAGAAGGGTGAAGACTGATGACGTTACGAGCAAGAGTCAAAGTTTGCAGGGTGTTCTTCGTATGACTTTCTGTAGATCTTATTATTGTATTTTAGAGCCTTAATTCTGAATGTTCAATCCTTTAAATACCTAGGGCTTCCTTAAAACTTTGTAACACTTATCTCCACTTTGGGATTTTTTTCATTTTAGGTGGGGTCTTTGAGGTTATATAAGAAAGTGATCAAATCCTTGTTGATGCTTGTAAACCGCTTTTTGCCTGGTAATATATATAATAAACTAATAAAAATGACTGAAAAATGTTATTCCTACGCATGGTTTCTGTCCTCCCCAAACCAGAAGAATATCCAAACTGGATTTTCATGAAGTTCTCCTTTCAGCCAAAACTTCCATGCAGGTAATATGCCTTTTATAAACCCTCCTTTGAAGACTGCATTACAATAGACCTGGACAGAAAGGGACACATCCAGCTAAGCCCGAGTCCCTCAGATAAAACCCGCTCTCTTGCTTACGTCCTTTCATATAGCAGCTTGCCCTCCCATCTCACACAAGCTGAATGCTGTGGCTCCACCAGGCTTTGCCTGGAGCTCCAAGTATCAGCGCTCCTTCCTGCTCTCCAGCCACCTTAGCTCAACAGGCCCAGCTGCAAAAAGCTTGTATTCATGATGCTCTGGCAAACAACAGAAGCAAAACAAACACACTCGTTGTTCACCAGTCTCAATGAAAAGAAAACACCAGAAAGAGCTAAAATAGATCCCCCTGTGTGCCTGGATCCCACTTACAGTTTACGATCTCCAGCAAAGCACAGCCGAGCCTGGCTGCCTCCGAGGCCGCCGAGCAGCTCTGCAGCTCTGTCTTTCAAATAGTTGCCCAGATGTTGATCTCCTTAAATTACGAAAAACTGTTTACTCAGAAGTGTTTTCTGCTGTTTCATATGACGCTTGATCAGACTAACAACCCTTTCCAATTTGATCCCATGCAGTCTGGTAGAACAGTATTGCTTAGAAAGACTGAAACTTGCATGATGTAAATCAAATCATTCTTCACAGAAATTAAAAATAATTCCATAACTAATTAGGGATTAGGGAAGGAAGGTAAACATCCAAAGAGGAATTTGACTGGGATAGCACGGCGGATACTTCTGTTTTCACAAAAAGTGGAATGGGATGTACAAGTAGCTAGAAAGTCTCTAGAGGATCTTCATTTTCACAGTCGGTCACTAGTTCAGTCATGAATGAGATAAAAAATGGTTGCTGACTTCCATCTCCAGTTCCCAAAGCGGCGGGGGTTGCTGTGGGAATTTCCTATACCTACGCCCCTTCCTATGCAAGCACTATTTGCTCTTGCTGATCTGAGAGTGGGATTGCTACAAATTGCATCAGAATCCAAACTTTAGGCACGCAGGAGATCCATCAGTGGGTAGCAAAGAAAAGGGAACTGAGAAATACATTTTCCAAAATGCTCATTAACAACTAATGTTGAAAAACTGAATCAGTTTTACAACAGCCGGTAACTAGCAGGAGGCAGAAGTAGGTCGCTTGCTTCCTCTGTGGCTAGCTGACATTACTCATAGGCCCATGCATGTTTTAAACTCGCCCTAGCTCGCAGGCAGGAGGCCATGATCTGTGAAAGTACTTTTCTCTGTGGATCCTTCCCACGACTTCACACAAACTAGTAAGCACTCCTGTGGGAAGTCTGGGCATGGACACATACAAACACTTCAAGCAAGATACAGCTATAGCCCTGTTTTCTAAGAAGGCTAAGAGCAGAGCTTCTAGTGCGGTCACCTGCTTGATAAGGTGGGCAGGCTCACAGAAAAATATTTATTCTTCAGTGCTTCCAAGGCACTGTTTAATTGCAGAATGATTTTGAGGACAGATCAAAGTCTAGGTACCTGTTAATGTATCACCCATTTGTATATAAAATGACAGTCTTGACAAAGGTGGAATGAGATGATATCTATATGCTTGCAAAAAATTCATTCTAGGGAAAATGGGAAATATTTTAATGCATAAATAAAAAACAATCATTATATATAACCGGACAAGAACATATAATAGACATAGCAAAAGAAACCTAATATTAAATATGAAAGAAGAAAATGTTCACCTTTTTTTTTCAGTCTTCAGCATGAAAGAAAATACATGGGTATGTACATCCCTGCCTCTAAATGCATTCAGTGTACACATAAATCACACACAGATGTTATCAAACATGATGTCCACAATTACGAAAAAAGATATTAATCATAATCATGGGACTTAGAATTTACACAGCCATCTGCCAAAATCCTTGAAAGCAAGCAGGTCTTGAAATATGTCCAGAAGGATATTGTAGCCAAAACCTAGTGGTTAAAACAGAGTAATTAATACTGAAGTCAAGAAAACTTCATAGATAATGTCCCGCCTGCGATTGCTCTGCCAGAATTTTAGATAACTGTGTATAAACGATGTTAGAATAAGCCCAGTCACTATGGCACTAGAAAACTATGTTTCTAAGGGTTTGATTTCTATTTGCTCTGTGTTTCTGATGGGACTGACAGATGATATTCCTCCTAGTAGGAGGATCCCTCTGAATCTTAGTCCAATCTCCACCATACTTCAAAAAAGGTAACTTCTCTCAACTGTGTCATGCTATGTCTCAGCCAGACACCTCATATTCTTTCACATAATTCTTGTTCTTCTTAACACTATGTTTGTCAAAGTGCTTTAGTTCACACAATTTCTAAACTGACAGAGTTTGGCTGCATAGCTATGGCATTAGTGACAAGACCCACTGAAACTTGTGACAGGCATACATGGATTTTCATCAAAAAAGCCCATGGAGCTCTTACATAGCATCCACAGGCTGGTGAAGTAACTCTATTCCTGACACTGAAGAATCAAAAAGTAGCTCTTTTCTTACTCCAGAGCTTGAAGGGAGGAATGCATGGGTCTTTCCCCAGACTTCCCTGCAACTTATGTATAGTGGATGCTAAGGTTCTGGTCCTTTGGAAACCATTCATTCATGGACCTTTATGTAATGGATCTTGGCTAATATTATTCTCTCTCTATAAGCACAAAATAACAGTTAAATATCTCTCATAATCATCCTAAATCTAGTGGATCCACTCCCTGAAGACACTCTTCAGAGTTTTTTGGCTGTCAAAGCAGCTTGAGCGATTTTAGATTAGCCTTCCCACAGCATGAGTTTACGAATGGGAGAGAGGAACATTCAGGGGATTCCTTTACATCAGTAAAATCCCAGCAGCAATAATAGCTGGTACGTGCAGAACAATAATGCAGAATAATAGGGCACGTGCAGAAGAAAGTAACTTTGGGCTGCTTTCACTTTTGCAGGAGGGGCAACTGCCCTGAAGTTTGTCGTGAATTTGGGGTGCAAAAAAAATGTGCAGAAAACACTTCTCCATTGTGCCAACTTTACCTACCCACGTTTGGAGATTAGGCTAGGTCATCCGACAGATTTAACTTTTTTGCATGGAAAAAATTTAGTCCCACATTAGCATAAGCCAGGTTTCAACTACATGGTCAACAAACATAATTCATAAAGACGCATCACTTGCTCATTCATGTTACTTGTTATCAGCTGATTACCTAACCATAAGCAATTCTGAGTTGAGGTCATTTAAGACTGATAAACATTTCTTTCTCTTCCTTTAAAGGAGGAAGGTATGGATGTGTGCGTTATTTGTCATGGTGACCTCAGGACTGGCAGCAGCACAGAATTTCACTGCATGCACAGCTTTTACAAAGAGACATTGTGATTAATTCCCAGGGCCTTGTTTTCTATCACTGCAACGCAGAGAGGAGAGGAAGGATCTTTTTGTACAAACTCCTCCAGACCCTTACTCAAACGCTAGGGACTGAAAGAGCTGTTTGTGTGTTGCAGCTGTTGCAGTAGTCCTACATTATCAGACGTTACCCAGAAGGTGGAATAATCCTCAGTATCACCTTTTATTGTTTTTAGGGAAGTTTTGCACTGGTGGAATGATAAAAGGTGAAGATTATGGGCCACACTGAAGCTGCTGCAGCCAGTGTGTGTTGTTCTTTACATGACTGGGTTAGGAGTAAAAGGGAACATCACTGGTTCGAAAGAGCTGTGTGCAGCTGAGTTTTTGGATG